ATAGGTCCGGTGCAAATGAAGGGACAGTTATCAGAGAGTCTGTGACAGATACAGGTGCTGTGCAGCAAGAGAGTAGTAGGCAAAAGCTTGTAGAAGAGCTGACATCCCCAAGGACATTTCATTTGGAGTACATGTGTGAAGAAGAAATGAAGAACATCATCAAGGGTTGTGGGGCAGTTCTTGAGGATTCCCTGGAGAGGTGTGGAGATGTAGCTACCGATAACAGCAGGCTCTCTTCAGTGAGGTCATTTCCAAAATTACTAGAGCTTTCTATAACATGATGCAGTCAAAACTAGATTGCAGCCTGACAGCTGGGTTTATAAATCAGTTTTCCTCGGCTGCTGTATAATACACTTAGTGGTGATTACTCCTGGCTCTATGGAGTAGTTCATGCTATTATTAAGTAACACTGGACAGATTAATTGTTATTATTTACTTCCTTCTTTGATGAACTCAAGCCCTGTACATACTGATGAATGATGCAGGAGACTACTATAAATGCAACATAAAATGAAAAGCATTATATTAACAAGTTCTAAGCATAAATAATAATAATAATAAAAAAAAAAAACACTGCTTGGTATTTAATAATAAGATGAACCAAAGATTCTCCACAACCCCTCAAAACAGGCAGATGTCTTAATAACTTGCCTCTATTCCTCTCTTCAGAGACATAAAAGTCATTGTGCTTCCAGCATTTTGTATGCCACAGGGAAAGAGAGGAGGGGGACAAAATTGGTCTTGCATATTTCATAAACAGTGGAAGATTTCCTATCCCAAATGGCAATTGCAGTGCAGACACCATTGGCCTCTCTTTATAAAGGTCTCCCAGCAAAAAAAAAAATGACTTAATAAAAAAAAGAACAGTCAAAAATGCTCTTGAGATTAATGTTGCTGATGCTTATAGAAAGTGTTTGTAATTGTTACCTATGGTCACAAATAGTAAGGTAAAGCTGTGAGTATATGTCCGTGCCATAGGGATGAAATGGGAATGTACACTATTCTTTTCTTGAGGAGTAAATTTTTCATTCATGTTACTGCAAGAGAATAGGTTTTGGGAGTAATGAGAATGTTTTCATTGAGAAGAAGGCTTTGTACTGGTGTTGAGTAAGTTGATATGTCTGCATGTTGCAGTCCATGTGGGAATGCTATGTAGACTCTGAAGGTCGTATAACTGTGGTTTTGACAAGCTCTTGGACAAATGTAATGAAAAGAACTTTTTATTTAATGTAAGCTGAAGAACTCATTTTGGGATTTTATCGTAACTTTCTTTACCCTCTGCACAGAGTATGAAGTATACAGTGTGTGTTTTTGTTTTTGTTTTTTCCCCCTGCTGCTGTTGAAATGGCTTGTTTAAAGAGCATGAGAGCTCTGACTTTTTCTGCTAATTGGTCATAAAAGGTATGTCCTTTCATTGACTTCCTCGACCTTGAATTAAGCTCATAATTCTCACTGAGATACATTTAGTACTTTTCACAGATTATAGACAGTATAATGAATTGTTACTACTCACTGAAGCTGAATTTTGTATTGTTATTTAAATTAAAAACATGAAAAATTTGATTTTTTTTGGCCACCTTTCTATCCCTTCTGTCATCACCACCTACACACAAAATTCTGCTAGTTCCATTTCCAATGCTTTCTCATGCAGGCAGCAGACTGAAAGAAAATGAATATATCATCCACTATTATACATGCTGACATGCCATTTCAAGCAGTCTGTTTGTCAAAGAAATTCATTTGTTTAGATTTTGGAGAGATAAATGTTTATCTCATAAGGTCTCAATCATAACCTAAACCCAAAATGTCTGTTTGAGTTGAATTTGTGCACACAGACAATGAAGAGTTTGGTCTTGAGGTGATAGGAAATTGTGATAGATGAGAAAGAGAAAATGACAAGATTTCAGGATGTAAGTGAAGTTTTCATTAGAACATTGACTACTGAGGAATCTTTGAATGAGTGAGACTTGGCTTTGGTAAACCAAATACTTTAGTATGAACACTGGCTACATTTCAAGAAATAAGTACACGAGAGAGAACAAGATTTCTCTCCTATCTCTCTCTCTCTCTGTCTCAGCAAAACTGAAATATGAACTCTCCTTTCTGTACTTCAATTTGATATTTTTTAAATTGATGACAAAAAATCTCATCTCCTATAACATGCTCTTTATGTGAAAATACAATTGCAATCCGTTGAAAAAGCTGCTGTATAAGCCTACATCTTATAAACCATTTTTCATTTATTCTCAAAACTTTCTACAAGTGAAGTCAATATTATTATACTCTTTCTACAGACTGAGGGAAATTGAGGCAAAAAGCAGAGAAGTATATTACTCAGGATTACCCAAATTAGCCATTAGTTAAACTAGGATTGGAAATGGGACGACACTGAGTTCAAGAAAAACTAGAGTCAATCTAACCATTAAGTGAAATAAATTGTGTGGGGCATTTTAATGAAATGTTCAGAGATATCTTTGAAGATGCTGTGCATAGCTTAGCCTTCACTGAAGAATATATAGTATTCATTATATGGTATTCATTATATGGTCACACATACACACATAAGTATGTTTCTATACAATACACAATAACAGAATGTATATAATACACATGTGTATTATGTAGTATATTTTGATGTGGTTTACTTGGATTGAATGGTTGTTCATGCGGTACAGAATTTACATGTAGGTTCATCTGAGGAAAGGTTTACATTGTCCAGTTTACGTCTTAATGAGCCAGATAATCACCTAGTATAAATAAGCATAAATCTAGCAACATAAAAATCTCAGACCCCTTTCTCAGGTCTGACTGGAAGGGTAGCCAAAGCCTAAAGCTCAAAAATGGCTAACCTCACAGTATTTGTCTTTATCCAACATATCTTTATTCTACTGCTCTTTTGGTCATTGTGCAGATCATGAACTTGCCTGTCACTTGGAATCATAGCGAAGGTGCTGTCATAGACTGACTTATCTGCAGATCTGTACACATGCTCAGTTATTTGCTCAAGTTTCTTTCTGGATAATGTCTCATCTACAAAGGTAAAATTCATGTAGACTAACAACATTTTGTCATAGAACAGTTTGGGTTAGAAGGGACCTTAAAGTTCATCTAATTCCACCCCCCGGCCATGGGCAGAAACACCTCCCACTAGACCAGGTTGCTCAATATGGCCTTAAACACCACCAGAAATTGGGCATCCACAACTTCTTCGGGCATCCTGTTCCAGTACCTCACCACCCTCACAGTGAAGAATTTCTTTTTATACCTAATCTAAACCTACCCACATTTAGTTTTAGTCTAAAGCTCCCTTGTCCTATCACTGCACCTGCTGACAGAGTCCCTCTCCAGCTTTCCTGTAGGCCCCCTTTAGGTATTGGAAGGCCACTATAAGGTCTCCCTGGAGCCTTCTCTTCTCCAGACTGAACAACCCCAACTCCCTCAGCCTGTCTTCATTTTAGCCATTTTATGACAGTTCTTGCAGCATCCTTTTCTCTTGCTTGAATAAATGAAGTTTGTCCCCTTCCTATCCATGCAGAATGCTTTTGCAATGATAGTCTAATATTCAACTAGACCGATATTTGTCTATATAGCCCTTTCATTATCTTACAACTACTGCATTACACTTAAGTAATTTATTGTGGATTAACCCTGTTAAGCAGCTAAGTACCACACAGCCATTCACTCACTCACTTCCACTTTCCCCATCTGGATGGAGGGGATAGAACTGGAAAGGTACAAGTGTGAGCAGTTGTGGGTTGAGACACAGACAGTTTACTAGGTAAAGCAGAAGCTTCAAGTGCAAGCAAAGCAAAGCAAGGAATTTATTCCCTACTTCCCATCATCAGGCAGGTGTTCAGCTACTTCCAGGAAAGCAGGGCTCATCATCCATAATGGTTTCTTAGGAAGACACGTTACCTAATTCTAAACATCTTTGCCCTCCTTCTGCTTTCCTCAGCTGTTATTGCTGAGCATGATGCCATGTGGTATAAGGACATCCCTTTGGCTAGTCTGGGTCAGCTCCTGGCTGTGTCCCCTCCCAGCTTCCTGTGCACCCTCAGGTACCTCTCTGGCAGGGCAGCACAAGGAGCAAAACAGACTTTGGTCTGTGTGAGCGCTGCTCTGCAACAACTGAAACATCCCTGTGTCATCAACAGCTTTCACTAAAAATCCAAACCACAGCACCATACCAGCTACTATGAAGAAATTTAACTCTATCCCACCTAAAGCCAGGACCCCTGATATTTGGCTATATAGCCTTTTCACTGGCTTACCACTACTGCATTAGACAAAAGTAACTTATCTTCACATTCACAACATTTCGCACACTATCCCTAATCCTACAAGTCCTGGGAGGTCAAATTTTCATTGCCAGCTGGTTTATGCTACCAGCCTCCCTTACCCACTTGTTACATTTCCAAACAAACTAACTTTCCTCCATTTTGTCTTTTATGCTTGCAAGCAGCTCCCTTTAAAAAAGCTGCCTCATTTCAGCCTCCTCTTTTCTGTTCCTCTTCCAGCCTCATTAGAGATGCTTACAAAAAAATCTTTGACTGGATTTCAACCATGTTAGGTTGACACCAGGCCACGCATGCCCACACTGTTCCACCAATACTCTCTACTCCTTTTTTTTTTTTTTTTTTTTTCCTTTGTGCCTTACTGTTGCCTTCTGTCTAGATGTTTAACTGCTTTTCTGCAGAATCATGCTCTACTTTTGCACTACAGTGAGATCTGATTTTATGAGCAGAACCAGAGCTGGCTGGCTTTAGCTTTGTCAGCTCCAGGAAGTAAGCAAGATCTGAACACAGGTATTATACAGCTGCCATGTCGCCCTTCCCACCTTCAAACCTTATTAATGGAGGGAAACAAACAAACAAACAAAACCAACCAAACAACAACAAAAAAGCACAAACAAACATTGGTGGACAAGTTTTAATTTCACCATGGCAATGTGCTGTATGTGAATGATTCTCAGGGCTCATCTATGTCTGCGTTACTTACAGGTGCTGAAGCAATGACAACAAAACATATCCCGTGCGGACCTTGTGTAGATGTTTTGTGGATGCAAGGAATGCAAGACTGGACTTTTGTCAAAATGAAGTTTATATACACGGTTCTAGAAAGAGCATCTCAAGGATTAGGCCATGGGTAATTAGTCTCATTAAAGTTACTTCCCAGAAGTGTATTAAGGTTATTTTTCTAATTGAACTGCGTGCTTTATTCTTGCATATGCTTAGTTGCATGACAACTGTGTTGCCAGAATAAGCAGCTCATAACAAAGGCTTACCTTCGTCTATACATTTTGTAAATATCCTCCAGCAGATGTGACTTCTGTTATCTGCTCTAGGCTATTGTACATACTTTTCCAAACAAGCAAGTATACTACTCCCATTAATTTACAGATAACTGTCAGGGCTGGGAACTCCTACAACAGACCTTATTATAGATGTGTTTTATCAGTGCAGTTTAAATTAAAACAGCCACAAAAGCACTAGGATTATTCTACCTCTCTCTTCCACAAGAATACAAGCATGTTCTGAATCAAGATCAATAAAGACCCTGACTTAGAGGATTAATTTACATTAATGTACATTATGGGAAAATGATAGTCCTGCTTCTGCCTTGTTTAGGATAGCCATGAGTTAGTTCTATGCATCTTTTCAAGGAGGCAAAAAAATGCAACAGTTTTTGACAGATCATATCATAACATCACAGCACTTTTTCATCAAATTAAACTGCAAGTGTTGGTAACTTTCTAAGCAATGTGAAGTCTGCTGAAAAATTTCTAGGCTGTTGGGCCTACACTTAAATTTCAACAGCTAACAAGAAAATGTATTGTCATGCAAAATCTCTCTCATAACAATTTAATCCAAAAGATTGTTGGAATCAGGAATGCTAGTGCTTTGCTTCAAAGCAGGAACAACAACAACAAAAAAAAAAATTAAAAAAATGGGGAGAGGAAAGGGAGAAAAGGAACAAAGAGATTTCTGTAACCGTTTCTTGAACAAAAATGTTTAATTCAGTCCTCTTTCCAGCAAAGAAAGATTAAAAGCTTCTGGAAGCTTCCTAAGCTCTCGGTCAAGTTCATGATACTGTTTTGTGCCCTGAAGAAAATTGTAGCCATTTGTTTAAGCAATGAAGTTTCCATCTGTTCTGTCTTGGTTTAAAGAAGCAGTATATTTTCAAAAACCTCAAGGCAATGTTTACTGAAAGTATAAAATGTCCCTGAAGTGACATGACAGAAGTGAAATAGATGGCAGGATTTTAAAACTCACAATCACAGAAAAACGCAGCTATGGTTTCAACCACACACACATATGCATATTTGCATATATAGTTAAACACGGACAGAAGGAGCACTGTATTTGCTTTAAAAATGTTGTTAAATGACTGGTTTCAGCTGACATACCTGCCTAGCAGAGAATCCCTCTAAATAAAAGCATTTTTATTTTGTGTGACAAGCGAGATCTAAATAAAACATCAACTTACATGTACTTTATGAAATATTCAAATTCTGTGTTGCACTACATCTTTACTTAGCATATATGTAATGTGTTTTCAGGCAATTTTGGAACAATGTTAAAAGTCTCAAGATATATTCTAAAGAGGGTTAATTGAGGCTAATTTTATTTATACCACGTGCCATCTACAGAAGTGACAGTAGAAAGAATCTAAATGCAACCTTGTCAGTACAAGACTTCAGATAGCAGATAACAAAACACCTGAGCAGCCTCCTGAGTTTTCAGAATGATTTGCTTGAAGTCAGTCTTCTTGAACTAACTTTGCTTCCATTATACCAAGAGTGATGTAAATTCTAATATCCTGCAGCAACAGATATACAAAAGCATCCAGCATATTACAAGGGATCCTTTAGGAGCTGCAGTTGAGGAATACACTGAGGGATCTGTCACATCCTGCTGAAGGCAGTGCATCAAGCTGCCTCATCTGCCAGTAGAAAACAATGGCCCTAGGTACTCTGGATGGAGAGACAGACTTTTTACTTGTTGACAGAAAAGTAATTTAATTAACTCATGGCATAATTCAACCCATAAGATCATTACAGAGATACCTGAATATTAAGCTCCAGATACTGTTCTTGCATAATATGCCTAGGACAGCCAGTTTTTAACCATGACTATAATGACTAAATCATAAGTAATAGTTCTAATGTTAAATATAACATCAACAAAAATCACGAAGACAGAAAATCAGAGTAAGTGGAACATTGCACAGGAGCCAGAAGAAAAGCTGAAGAGACCGAATAGGAAACTTAAATTCATACAACTTTTGAAGAGGAAGGTGTTCAGCTGCCTTGATAACAATCACAGGAGAAACATCTACTTCCCACAGCTCTTAATGGGAGTACCTATGTACTGCACTGGGGAGAAATTGGGGATAGGGAAGCTGGGTGTGTACACATATAACCCAGTGTCTAAAGTAGCCTGAAAAAAATGTGTGGTAACATCCACCACTGCATTTACCTCTCTTGTCAACCCACAATGTTTTCCTCTGTGCCTCTACTCCATCTTCTCCCTTCACTCAGTCCTTCATCCTCACATCAGTTGTGGTTCTGGTTGCTCCTCCTGCTTCCTTCATGTGGGTCTCCATCCTGTGCTTCTTTGCAGGGTGTTGCTAGAAAGGAGTTAAGCTGTTTTGTTAGATGTTTTCTCTCTCTCCTTTTTTTTTTTTTTTCCTTTTTTTTTTTTCCTTTTTTTTTTTTTTTTTAAGTTTATTTTATTCTTCTGTAAGAATAGGCTCATGGGAGCAGAAGTTGGAGCTCTTTCCACCTTTTGCAATAGCCCTCCTGGCTCTTTTGCTCCTGGGCAGGAGGTGGCAGGGAGCCAAGCAGGCAGATGGAAATTCTCCAGAGGGAGAGCTGGAAATATGCAGTGACCCACTTGCTGTTTGCAAGCTGCATTGCCCAGTTTTATGGTCTGCCACAATCTAGACCATTTTAAGCAGTGAGAAGTACAGTTAGCATATACTTTGTATGCACTAGAGGGTATATACAGCACACATATAAAGCTGGCATGCTGCTTTCAGATTAGTCACTTTGCCAACAAGACTAAAAACTTACATTCATTCCCTAAACCTGGTGTATGTTTATTGTCAATTTATGCACCTGTGCATCTAAGTGTAAGCCTAGGTTTCTAGGCTTAGTGAGTGCACCATGTTGTATCATTACCCGGTTTCTCAATAACTGTAATTACATAAACTAAAGAAAAATACTTTATTCAAAAATTTTTAACAAATGACTTTTTAAATCAAGACAGTGCAGCTTCAGTCCAAGTAACATTGAATGAGTTTCAAGAAAAATGGTAACTATGGAATTATATTACTGTTTAAACTTACCAGCAACTGTTCTGTTTCTGCAGTTCCTTTCTGTTACAAATTTTCTGCCTAAAAAAAAATAAAAAATAAAAATGTTAGTTATGTTAGCTTATTTAGGGATGTTTTGCATGTGTGAGGCATAGATATGATTTGTGGCAGTATATGAAGTGGCAGTAATGTTACAAAGACTATTGATTTTGGAATGTTTCCCATGCAACACTTGGCAACATGTTTTCAGATGAAACACTTGATTTTACCAGTACAGAGGTCATAGTTCATACTGTGTTACAGCACCATAAATGAAAGACTTCAGTAAAGTTACATTAGATTTAACCCATACTAACCAAGATCAGAATCTGCAGAAGCTTATCTTTTTCTGTTCAGCAGTTAAAAATACAAATATTTAGTAGCTAAGGAAGTTTGTTATCCATCCACTGAGATGGTGACTGCATCTTGTAAGGTGTTTCTAGTACTAAGAGCAACAAAATATCAAAACTGAAGCCATTGTAATTTGAGATAACCCATCAATCATAATTTTCTTTGTATCCCACCCCTTAAAAATTCAACTTCCCAAACAGTAAGTCTGTCTATCACATATGCTTCCTACAGTTAAATAAAAGCTATTTATCATTAAAGCCTTCTGTGGCTTGTTGCTCTACCATATTTTATTTATTTATTTATTTTTATAGGTGTTGTTGAGCCATTGCTCTCATCCTCCCTACAACTGTGATACTACATGTCATTGTACAGCTATCTATGGCTCATTTTCCTGGGAAGTCCTGGGGTCTACAAGAAGACTCTGTCCTAGGACTAGTCCCATTCACTACTGCAATATGTTACTTATAGAGTGTGTGCACAACGTCTGTATGACTAACTTCTACTGATGTGTGTGATTATTCCTCCCCAGGTGCAAGACTCTACACTTGCTGTTTTTGAATCTCATCAGGTTCCTCTCTGCCCAGCTCTCCAGCCTGTCCAGGTCTCGCTGAATGGCAGCACAGCTTTCTGGTGTGTCAGTCACTCCTTCCAGCTTTGTATCATTGGCATATTTGTTGAGGGGGGGACTCTATTCCTTTGTCCAGGTCATTGGTGAAGATATTGGACAATAAAAATAAATAGCAAAATATTATTGGAAATTAATCCATTTCATTCATCAAAGTCTACAAGATAAGTGATAAAGTCAATTCCTGGTGTAACTTTCCTGTGAGACGCACCAGCCCTGCAGCAGGACGGTATACACCGAGTACTATCCTGTAATGTAGAGAAGACAGCTTAACCATGAGAAATCTACCAGAGTTCCTGGATAGTTTTTGAACAGAACTGAGGAAACATCTGGTATTTAATTAAGATTTAGCTCATGGTTAAAGACACCAAACTGGCAATTGTTTTAACACATTAAGATACTGCTGTAGAGACAGGAGGGGGGAATCCACTCCTCAGAACAGCACTGAGAAGGAATAGAAGACTTTGCATACCATTACAGCCTGTCCTTCCATTTTATGTCCTACCCAGACTGACCAAAGAAAGAAATCTCTTTGCTCCCCACATCCCTTCATTGCTCTTCCAAGGGAAGCCATGGTGACTGAACCTCATGAATTTTCCATGATCTGAATTTTTGTGTAGACCTCTTAGTGCCAGGAGTTAGACGCGTTGATCTGTATGTGTCCCTTCCACCTCGGGATATTCTATGATTTCATGACTCTATGATACCAATTGGGCCTCCCAGAAGCATGAAGATGAGGCTCGTTTGGTGCTGTGCCAGTTTTTGCCATAAAAGTTAGAGGAAATGCTCCCTCAGTTTTACTGAAAGAAGGTGCAGATACTATTAATGCTTACACATTGAAATAAATGGTCAATATTTCACTGAAAGATTGTTTTTACGAAGAACTTATGATGTAAAAGGCCTTGTGTTAAATCATACATTAAAATAAAGCTTGCATACAGTTCCCATTTATTATGGTAAAATTGTGACAGATGGAAAAACATTATTTCATCAGAGATTACATTAATGCAATGTGTATTTTTTTCAGTGACAGTATGCTTGTACACTTACTTGATGGATGGAAGGCATTTATTTATAGCTGGCACATAACTACACAACTATTTACATATCTAACTGCCATTGACATGTCAAAATACTATTGTGTTTTTCTTTTGTGGTACAACTAGAACTTTCCCCAGACCTGGTAAAAAAAATATAAAAAAATAATTAATAAAAAATAAATAAAAAAGTAAACTGATGCCCTTCATTTTACTTATAAATCCCAATTGTTTCAAAGCCTCATGGATCTCATTGAAAGCCTGAGGAAGAAGCTCAGTCCTTATGCTATTGTAGAAGGGAAAGATCTATTTCAGTCCAGGTTGAAAGAGATTTCCATTGCCCAGGAAATAGCTCATAAGCAGTTCCCAAGCTTTAAGATAGCTATCCAACTCTGGCCAGAACTCCTCGGTGCTCTAGAATTACAGGCAAATAAAGAAACAGAAGTGTTAACAGCAAGGAATTAGCACTTTCAATGCTCCACCATCACCTCTCATAGCTGCTATCCATAGGGAGATAATTATTTAAACCAATGAACTTCATGACATTTTGGTCCTCACAGTGCTTAATCAACCTAAATTGCACCTGGAAAAAAAAAAAAAGGGGGGGGGGGGGGGGGGGGCTTTGGCCACTGAGCACACAGGACCCATTCCCACAGTAATTGAGAGGAGCGACACAGAACTACTACATCACTCTCACCTGACCAGTCCACACTTCTGAGCAGCTCTGAAGGTAGCTGTAGGTAAAAAATGCTGTACTGGCTTAATGTAATACAGATTCATAGATTCAGTCAAAGCAAGTGTTGACTTGACCTGGTAATTGGTGCATATCATTTAAGGAAAAAAGGCTCTTGGCAGGAAACAAGGAAGTGTTCTTCTAATCAATTACACTGTGTGTTCATCAAAAACACCAGGGGACTCAGCTTGTGGAAGGATTTCAAGTACCAAATTTTAGGTGACATTTTTAAATGGCAGATACAACAACTCACAAATTCTGTACTCTCTTATTTACATAAGTAATTGCTGTTTAATTAATAACCTATTGAAAACCTTGGTCTTGCCAACATACTGCCACATATATGCAACCAATATTTTCAAACAGTTGGAAAACAAGCAGAAGCACTGCTCCTGGATGAGATTTGAGCTATTTCTCTCTGAGGTCAGAGTTTGCTCAGGTGTCAGCGCAAATTGTGGTAAATCTATGGATGGTAAAGCCCTTTTCACCCCCCTTTCCTGGGCCAGGCAGGGGACATGGAAGGAAAACTTAGGAGGACAGGCAGTATCTGACTGTATGGAAAGCATATCACAGGCCAGCTGGGAAGCAAGATGAGGTGTAGGTGCACATCTATGACACAGGCCTGATTTACATTCAAAGGGAGCACCTCTGTCCATGCTCATCAGCTATTGTATCCACCCTCATCAGCTGTTATGGACAATATCATGGGTCACTCCAGCTGACAACTCCAATTTTTGATATTCAGATCACAAATCCCTGTTTTTCCTTCCTCTTAACCAAAAGAATGATGGAACCCAAGGCAGGAGTCCTTTTGAAAATGTAGTGATGTCTTTCCATTTATTCTGCAAGTACAAGATATTTCTAAGCCATTCCTTAAAAAAATACCCCAATACATATGGGAATAAAGGCACAGAAGATCACTAATGAGAGAAGTTGAAATACCCACACCCATAGCATCCCTTTAGTGTTGTGGGAACGTTCTCTAATGCACGATTTCCATGTTTTCTGCCATTTCACCTACTCTCCTTACATCCATCTTCTTTCTTTCTTTTTCTTTCTCCCTTTCTTTCTTTCTTTCTTTCTTTCTTTCTTTCTTTCTTTCTTTCTTTCTTTCTTTCTCTCTCTCTCTCTCTCTCTCTCTCTCTCTCTCTCTTTCTCTCTTCCTTCCTTCCTTCCTTCCTTCCTTCCTTCCTTCCTTCCTTCCTTCTTCTCTTTCTCTCTCTTTCTTTTCTTTTCTTTTCTTTTCTTTTCTTTTCTTTTCTTTTCTTTTCTTTTCTTTTCTTTTCTTTTCTTTTCTTTTCTTTTCTTTTCTTTTCTTTTCTTTTCTTTTCTTTTCTTTTCTTTTCTTTTCTTCTTTTCTTTTCTTTTTCTTCTTTTCTTTTCTTTTCTTTTTTTCTTTTTCTTTTTTTTTTTTTTTTTTTTTTTTTTTGTGCTCCATAAAGGAATAAAGACTATAACATAACTCCTGAGAGGGGATTCTACTAATATTATTCTACTAATATTATTTTCAATATTATTTTCTGTCATTAGACCTCTACTGTCATTCTTCATATCAAGTATTTCCCCTGTTGATAAAGTTTCAAGATGATTCTCATCTACTTCATTCTGTGAATCATCTCACAACTAAGTTACAAATACTCACTGATTTTAGTCTTCGGTTTTAATTTTCTCATTATTCAGTGAGAGTAAGTGTTCAGATAAATGAGTTAGAAGGCACTTTACAAAACTTATGTTGCATTTTGTTCTGGCTTTTGTTCTCTTTCTTTTTAATATCGAGGGGAGGGTATTACTTGCTGCAAACTGGATTGTTTTTTAAAGGGTTCACCCCCACCTAGTTAGAAAGGTGTTTTGCACTTACTGTGGATGTTCTGCTCAGCTCTGTTAGAAAGTGAAACAAATGCATCAAATCTTTGAGTGATGTTGTCTTGGAGAAAGTAGGTGTCTACAAACAGGCTTGTTTTGGAACATAAAACAGGGTTTGAATGAAGATTTTCTTTATTCGTGAGAGCTCACAAAATTAAGACAACTGAATTTGCTCAACAATGAGCAAAGTCAGAAGATGTACCGGTCAGAAGTTCAGAAGATGATCAGAGAAAGGTTACAGCTGCAGACGTGACAGATACAGCTGAAAATTGAAAAAACAAACAGAAAATGCACTAGGTTGCCCTGACAGGAATTTAAGAAGGAAAACTCCTTCCTCCTATGTCTGAAAGAAGAGGCTTAGTGCTGTGAGAAGAGAGGCTGTTACCCCTATCTGTCAGTGTATTCAAAGAAACAGTCAGGTTGTGCAGACAAATAAACCAAACCACATAAAATAAATATGTGTATAAATAAATAAATTTTATCATCGTCTTCTTCTAATAGGGAAAAAATGCCTCAAACACTGAATACTAACGACACAGAAAAAGCAATTAATATATTTTATGAGGAACATAGGAAGCAAAAATAAACAGACATGACAAGTTATTCCCAGGGTGGTAGGACTTTCCTGTGGCTTTTGTCCACCAGCTGCCCTCCTTTTAGTTGCCTTTCACTGCTCTGCTAGCTTTGACCTGATTCAACACACACATGTGCTAGATGGCTTTCAGTACAGACACATTGACTAAGTGCTGCTAGGGAGGTTTAATCACATTAAATTGCATAGAAGCATGCTAGAGGAGGCACTGATTTGTGTGTCTCTCTTCTGCCCTCCTGCTGGTTTTCACAAAATGTGCACGAGTTTATTTATAAATTGCTATGAGGTACAGGCAAGGATGATGCATCTACAATAGTGCATTTTGTGGAAAGAGGTATTTGTGCTCTCCCTAAACAGCCTCTCCCACTTCCACTGACTAAGGCAGAATTCCAGTGGCTAGATGTGCAATTGTGTGAGCTGGGAGTATATTTGTTGTGTTCGTAAATGTGAGACATCTGTACCTGTCAAATGTGGTTGATGTTGGCTGACAGCTTCAGAAGTTATGGGGACTGTGGGAGAATTAATAGGAAGAGAGACTGTATCAGCTTCATTTCCTTAGAAACCAGGCAAAAATATTCCAACCCATTATCTCTTTATGAATTATTTCTGTAAAGATTGCCTTTACATGCTTTAAATATCTAAGCTACACAAGTAGAAAATTCACAGTGTGTAGACCAGTCCTAAATGTTTTGAGATGATGTTTTTATTTGCTTGAGAAACACAAGAAAGCACAGATAAATATAACATATTTTTGTACCTGCCTAAACCTAGCCAGTGTATTTCTCTATGTAGCTCACCAGACCTGAGGTAAAGGAGGAATGTGATTCACAGCAGTACTGCACTCACTCCAGATGCTGTGTCCTTGCAGGAAGAGGGGGCTTGAAAGGGGTCACCCCTGAGGCTGCATCCTCCAGCAGACCGTCCGTGAATGCCATCACATTTCATGAGATTGTCAGATTCCTTGCAGTGCAACAAGTTTGCAGTGAGTGCACTCTTCCCATGCCACAATTCCAGAGCATTTATGGCTTTAAACCTGAAGGAAATATCACTATTGCAAAGGGACCGTAAGATGTAACTGGCTTTTAGCCAGTCAGTATATGCAGCTTTTGGTGTCTCTGTAGAGGTATGCTGTGCTTCTAATTAAACCTCTGGATTCCTTTTCTCTGCTATGACATGAACAAGCTTTGTGGCTTGAAGCAGGGGTTGATATTTTTGTAATGAGTTCTTCCAGACACTTGTGAGCCTTAGTTCAGCTCAATCAGGGAATATGTCAAATACAGGTTATCACTGATAAATGCAGACTGTTATTAATTTTGTACAATTAGCTTTACTAGAAATTTCTTTCTTTCTTTCTTTCTTTCTTTCTTTCTTTCTTTCTTTCTTTCTTTCTTTCTTTCTTTCTTTCTTTCTTTCTTTCTTTCTTTCTTTCTTTCTTTCTTCTTCCTTCCTTTCTTCTTCCTTCCTTCCTTCCTTCCTTCCTTCCTCCTTCCTTCCTTCCTTCCTTCCTTCCTTCCTTCCTTCCTTCCTTCCTTCCTCCTTCCTTCCTTCCTTCCTTCCTTCCTTCCTTTCCTTCCTTTCTTTCTCTCTCTCTCTCTTCCTTCCTCCTCTCCTCTCCTCTCCTCTCCTCTCCTCTCCTCTCCTCTCCTCTCCTCTCCTCTCCGTCTCCTCTCCTCTCCTTCTCCTCTCCTCTCCTCTCCTCTCCTCTCCTCTCCTCTCCTCTCCTCGCCTCTCCTCTCTCTCCTCTCCTCTCCTCTCCTCTCCTCTCCTCTCCTCTCCTCTCCTCTCCTCTCCTCTCCTCTCCTCTCCTCTCCTCTCCTCTCCTCTCCTCTCCTCTCCTCTCCTCTCCTCTCCTCTTTTTCTTTCTTTCCTTTTTCCTACTACTTTATTTTACCATTTAATTTAATATACAGTAGCGCAAATATAACCAAACCTGAAATTCATTGGCCTAGTTA